TGTGCTCACCAGAAAGACAGAGACAGAGAGACAGAAAGTGAGAAATCACCCTCCAGGGGGATGGCCACGCTGCAATCCCTTCTCCTCCATTCTCTTCTCGGGATCCTGGGCACACACGTACACGTGCCCAGCATGAGTTTAAGCCATCGGGTCCAGGATTCGAACTGCGGTCGACTACATGGGAGTCCAGTGACGTAGTTGTTATGCCATCTGCTGGTCCCTCTTTCTCTTTTTCTTTTTTACTTCCACAGGGTGCATGCACTTACCAGAGACAGAGAGAGGAAAAATGGGAAAATACCCTCCAAGGAGATGGCCTCACCATAATCCCTTCTCTTCCATTGTCTTCTCTAGATTCCAGGCACACCTGCACATGTGCTTGGTGTGTTTCTGAAGCCACTGCATCTGACTCAGACTGCAGAGCTGGCCACGTGGGATCCAGAGCCTTAACCGCCACACCATCTGCTGGACCCATCATACAAGTCTCTCCGCAAAGTAATTTTTTGAGTGGTACATATAATTATTTCTTAAAAAAAAAAAAGGTATAACAACATATGTTGCTATTACACTTAAGAATTAAATTACAGTGCCATACTTTCTGTGTAGATGATCTTATTTTAATAATTTCAGTGAGTATGTTTATTGGCAGATCAAATTAATAGAAGAAAATGTTCTCTAGTTTCCAGTTCTCTGCATACAGTTTCTGGTGATAAAGGACCATTAGCCTTTCCTTTTGTTAAACTTCTAACAGTAATATCTAGAACCTTAAAAAAAAACTTAATCATTTATCTTACAAGCTTAAGATTCCTTAGGAGCAAAAACAGCAAACACTGTCTTATCAGTGTTTAACTGCATGATGAACCGCTTATTTTCTCCCCATGAGAAATAAATTACTACGTCTTTTCCTTCATGTAGTATCCATGGAGCAAGAGTTTCTGTATCAAGGGACCAGCAGATAGCATAATGGCCATCTCAGATCGCAAAGTGGTTTTTTTCTCTTGAAGAGAAGTGAAAGTAATATTCAGGGGCTGGTCTGATGGGACAGTGGTAATACACTGCTCAGGTGATGCTGGATCCACATAGAAGATTGCAGGTTCAGTTCCCCAGCCAGCCTGTACAAGGTAGGCACATACACCCATGATTCTGACTAGAGGGGTCACCTAGAGTTGGGGGGGATGTAGGGTGGAGGGAGACAGCTGCATGAAACCCAAGAGAGTGCTAGTCTCTCTCCCTCATGAAACAAACTTTAAAAAAAGTAACATTCGATTCTTTAAGGCAGTTTGGCGTAAGATACAGGAATATGAAATTGAAATAGAACCCTGTTTCACTACTCTCGGATGAATACAGGGCTGGCAGATGTGCTGATTAATAATTTCTGTATGTTTTTAAATATTTGCCTTTATCTTAAGAAAGACAGATATAACTACTCTTGTTCAAACTGATAATTTCCTGATTTTTCTCCCTCCTTAACACCTCTTTAGCTGACATCTTAAGTTGTCATTAAGTAAACTCCTTTACTGGAACTTCGTGTTTGCTTTATTTGCTAACACTTCCTGTTTTGCATATTTCTCCCTGTAAAACTGAACCAGTGCCATGGCAAAGGCATGCGTGGCAGCTACTAAAAATTTTCTGTCTCCAATTAATGGCTCTGCTCCTGTAGTGAATAAAATTCTCCAAGGGGGACCAGCAGTTAGCGTAATGGCTATGTCGCTGGACTCCCATGGAGTCGACCATGGTTCAAGTCCTGGACCTGGTGGCTTAAACTCACACTAGGCACATGTGCGTGCGTGCCCAAGATCCCGAGAGGAGAATGGAGGAGAAGGGATTGTGGCGTGGTCATCCCCTGTGGTGTTGTCTTCTCGCTTTCTGTCTCTCGCTGTTTGGTGAGCGCATGAGCCCTATAGCAAAAACCTCTCCCCCCAAAAAAAATTCTCCAAGGAATACAAATGGTTGCTCACATATGACAAATCAATTATTATGGGCTGCACAGGAAAAGCCAATAGTGTGATTTATT